ACAAGATTGGGGATTTTTGAAAATTTGACTCTCAAATCGAATTCGTCAGGAATCATCAACAATGTTTTTCGAATCAGCTCGTCGAGATCTATATCCAAGAATTTTTAGGCAGCTTTTTCAAAAGCTCAATTTTCAATAATCATTAAATTTTTGACGTTTTCTCCAATAGCATCCAAAATTACCTAAAAAATGTTTTCGTAGATTCGACACCCAGAACTTTGCAGCTTTCTTTAAAAATTCATCATTTTTCGAAAATCGTCTACATGAAAAATGACAAATTCTGAAAGGTTTAAAAATTTGACTCTCAAACCGAATATTTTGAAAATCTTAATTCGGGAATATCAATCAAGTGGATCATGTTTTGAGCATTTTTACGCAGCTTTTCCAAAAGCTCAATTTTTTAATACCTCCTTTGTGAATTTTTTGACGTTTTCTCGAACACCTTCGAAAATTACCGAAAGACATTTTTTGGTCGATATTTTTGGTTTCATTTCTTCGAAAATTCCTACAATTTTTCCAAAACCATGAAACGAAATATGACAATGTTTGGGATTTTCAAAAAAATTGATTTTCAAACGAATTTTTCAAAAATCTTGATCCATGAGCATCAATACTTTATATTTTTGGAATGAGCTCGTCGGGATTTTTTTGTGGATTTTTAAACAACTTTTCCACTCCATTTTTCAATTCTTCCTCATTTTGAAAGTTTTGATGTTTTCTCCAAAACCTTCAAAAATTACCCAAAGAAACTTTTTCGTACATTTGGACCTCCAAAGGCGATTTTCCGATTCATTTTTTTCGAAAATTTCTATTATTTTTCTAAAATCGTCAATACGAAAGGTGACAATTTTCGGGATTTTAAAAAAATCTGACTTTCAAATCGACTATTTCGAAAATATTACTCTGGGACCATCAACACGCGATGTTTTGTGAAAAACCTGGTCGAGATTTCCGATCTCAGTTTTTTTTATTTTATGCATCTTTATATTTTTCTATTCTCGCTCCGACTAAGAAATTTTTGACGTTTTCTCGAGCTCCTTCGAACATTACTGAAACAAATTTTTTTGTAGATTTCGACCTCGTATAAGTAATTTTGGAAATTTCTGTTATTTTTCCTAAATCGTCAACATAAAGATCACAACTTTTTGGATTTTAAGAAATTTGATTTTCAAACCGAATTATTAAAAATCTACCTGGAACCATCAGCACGCCATGTTTCTAGAATCACCTCGTCGAGATGAATATTGTGTGAATTTTTAAGTAACTTTTCCAAAAGGTTAATTTTTCAATTCTTCCCCATTGTGGAATTTTTGACGTTACCTCCAATACCTTTGAAAATGACCTAAACAGACTTTTTCGTAGATTGCGACCTCCAGAAGCAATGTTCGGATTCATTTTTTCGAAAAATACTACTTAGGGGTATTTTTTTTCCAAAATCGTCAATACCAAATGTGACGATTTTCGGGATTTTAAAAAAAATTGACTTTCAAAGCGAATATTTCCAAAACCTTAGTCCAGGACCATCAACAAGCGACGTTTTTCAAATAAGCTCGTCGAGATCTATATTTCAGATTTTGTTTCATTTTTAGCTATTTTTTCCAAAAGCTCAATGTTTAAATTCTCGTCCCCATTATGCAAAATCTGGTGTTTATTAGAGACTTCAAAAATTACCTATATTGATTTTCTCTATAGATACCGACTTCAGCTTCATTTCTTCGAAAATTCCCATCAATTTTCTAAAATGGTCAATACTAAATATGACAATTTTATTGATTTTAAAAAAATTTGGCTTACAATGAGAAAATTTCGAAAATCTTAGCCTGGGATCCTCAACGCGCTATTTTTTGGAATAAGCTTGTCGAGAACTATATCCTATATTTTTTGAATTTTTATGCAGCTTTTCCAAAAGCTCAATTTTTCAATTTTCGACAATATTACGAAATTTTTGACGTTTACTCGAGCTCCTTCCGAAATTACCAACACAGATTTTTTTTATTTCGGCCTGCAGAAGCTACTTACTAACTTCTTTGAAATGAATCACTTTCGAAAATCGTTAATACAAAATTTGAAAATTTTAAGGATTTTTAAAGAATTTGAGCTTCAAATCGAATATTTCTATTAATAATATAATATCTCAATTTTTTATGGATTTTTCCCCGATTTTCGTAAAGTTAATTTCTTCAGTTCTCGTCTTTTATGAAATTTTTGACGTTTACTCGAGCTCCTTCCGAAATTACCAACACAGATTTTTTTATTTCGGCCTGCAGAAGCTACTTACTAACTTCTTTGAAATGAATCACTTTCGAAAATCGTTAATACAAAATTTGAAAATTTTAAGGATTTTTAAAGAATTTGAGCTTCAAATCGAATATTTCTATTAATAATATAATATCTCAATTTTTTATGGATTTTTCCCCCGATTTTCGTAAAGTTAATTTCTTCAGTTCTCGTCTTTTATGAAATTTTTGACGTTTACTCGAGCTCCTTCCAAAATTACGACATAGATTTTTTTATTTCGACCTCCAGGAACTACTTACTAACTTCTTCGAGATGAATCATTTTCGGAAATTGTCAATACGAAATATGAAAATTTTCGGGATTTTTAAAAAATTCGACTTTCAAAGCGAATATTTCGAAAATCTTAGTCTAGGACCATCAACACGCGATGTTTTCCGAATAAGCTCGTAGAGCTCGAAATCTCAGATTTTTTTGTGGATTTTAGGCAGATTTTCCAAAAGCTCAATATTTCAATTCTCGTCTTTTACGAATTACGTTTTCGGGAACACTTGCGAAAATTATTGAAACAATTTTTTTTTGTAGATATCGACCTCGTAGAAGCAATTTTCGGTTTCATTTCTTCGAAAATTTCTGTCATTTTTCCTAAATCGTCAACATAAAGTATCACAATTTTTAGAATTTTTAAAAATTCGAATTTCAAACCGATTTTTTAAAAAATCTATCCTGGACCATCAACCGTATGTTTTTAAAATCAGCTCGTTGAAATGTATGTCTCCGATTTTTCTGTGGGTTTTTTAAAGTAACTTTTCAATTCTTCCCCATTATGAAAATTTTGACATATTCTCCAATATCTTCGAAAATTATCAAAAGAGAATCTTTCATAGATTTCGATTACCAGAAGTTTTTATTTTTGCTTCAGTTCTTCAAAAATTGCTATCATTTTTCCAAAATCGTCAACACGAAATATGATAATTTTTGTAACTTAAAAAAATACATTCAAATCGATTTTGCGAGCACGCCACTGCTTCGACCCGCCGCGAACAAACAGGGATCAAAAGCGGAAAATCTCCAAGCGTGATGAAGGTGTGAATGCCAACACAATCGCAATTTCATTTCCTAAAAAAGTGCAAATTGGAATCTATGGAGTGCTAATTGAACGGTTATTATTTTGCCAAAACAAACTCCCACGCCCGTCTTATATTGACAAAATCAGCCACAAAATCGTCGAAAATTAAAAGCGATTTCACCACGAATCGATATGTGTAGCAAGGCCGATGATTGTATTGAAATATTTATTAAACAATCACATTTCATTCAAATTGGCTTTGGAGAAAAAAGTGCTCCAAAAACGCTGTCGTCTATTGCTCAATTTTCGCACGTGATCCAATCAGCGGACGTGGGATACGTTGTGCCTAACCCGTATATCCCTAGCATTTAATAACGTGCGTCGATGTGAATTAGTGCATGAAGTGGCGGTTGAGTTCGAGGGACTCTCATTAAACTAGATGTGATGTAATTAATTTAATGCACCCTCGGCTTCTTGCATAAATTTCTACATTAATTGGAACGAAGAGGAAGGAAAAATTCGTTCGTCGCATCTGCCGAAAGCAAGGCCAAAAACAATCCGCATCTCGTTAACAATATTGGGTGTCATTTGAGTGCAAATACTAACGTATTCAACAGGTGGCAACCAGACGGGTTGCTATTTGCGGTGGACAAACAACCCCAAAGAACAGATGTCGCGAATAAACTCGGTGATTCAATTCCATTAAATACGTTTTGCTCAATCGTACGAAGGATGTTAAGAAATTTGAAATGCTCGAATGATGTTTGGCGTCTTCGCGCCATGCTTGGAAAAAAACACCTGACCTTCGAGAACTGTGTATGACAAGAGTGACAGGTGTTTCGGCAAGAATTAAGTCTAGAACGCTGTATATGGTATTATGCTGGCAACGTTTTTCTCTATTGTGAAAAGTTTTCGTTGGTCGTTCACGAAAGCGCTTGTTTGTATGATTTTAGTACCAATATAAAGGTGATAAATAGAAATATAGTGTACTCTAATGTACATATTATATTGCTACTATAGTATTCGGTGTTTGCAAATTAGTACGTTTTTATCAATCCGCGCAAATACAAACTTGATTGTGTTAATTTTTGAGCTTATTAAGATTTGTGTGCAAAAGTGGTAATTCATTAAAAAATATATACATATAAATCGTCATTATTGGTTTCCAAAATTTTTGGAATTTGGGTACTTGTTGATGGAAAACATTGTAAAATGAGTACTCGGTTTCCTAAAGTCATACGTCACTTTACGTTGCTGATAACAAAAGTTGTAACTTTCTACAAACTGAACAGAGATATACAGTATCGTACGTAAGAACCTGATAATGATAAGCACAGGAATTTGGTAAACAGTATATTCGCAAATATTATAGATTTTGAGAATTTAGTACCACAATAAAAAATAGTTTACTGAACTTCAAACAGTGGAGATTCATCAACACTGCTAATTTCAAAGTTAAATTGTAAGATGTTGATACATAATTTTAATTAGTGGAGGGATATGTTATTTTATAAAATTGAGATGACGTCATCGCATTGGTGGTGGGGATGATCAGACAAATTTTGGTTCAGTGTTTTATCATCTACACGATATTCCAATTTGATAGTTTAAATTCGGCAGACAGACAGACGGAAAAGAGAAACCTATATTTTCGTATTCTAGCGCTCATGAAACGTCAAGGAAACAAAAGTCTTACCTTAAAAGTATGGTTAGATGTACGTCATGACTCAGCCTATCCAAAGCCATCGTCCCTTCCACCCTCACCGCGTTCACTTTATCCCTCAGAGCCAAAGAAGTCCCAATCGGATGATGCCTCTCACGTAAGATATCAAAAATATTAGGTTGTCTCAAAAACGCCACCACTTTATCATTATAAGCCACCGGTACTTCAGGTACGCTGACTGCAGAAACGAAACTCGTGGTGGTCGTGGGTCTTGGAGGTGGAATTGGAGCCTGTAATAAAAAACCATGATCAGTTTGAGTTGTCTTCTAATCACAGAAAAACAAAACAGTCACTCTGGCTGTGCTTACATACCTGTCCGTCGTCTAAAAATCGCCGCGAGTACGACAAGGGTTCGGTTGGTACTCTTGGATCCATGTAGGTGGTTTTCTTGTGAGTGTGGTCAATGAAGAATTGCTAGTAAAGTGTTAGTACTGTTAGTACAAGCAGCTATAGTGTTACGGTAGTACTAGACGATCAACTGAATACAAACCTTCGCGTTTCGATCTTTCTTAGTATCCCATCCTTCAGGCAAATCGAGGGTAGTGTCAGCAAAGATGTTGACTAAGGCAACTAGTTCCTTGTTATGTTGGTACTTGTCGAAAACAGCCGGGTCGAGTCGGATTTTCACGATCATGTGTTTAAGTGTAGGGTTACGATTATACAAAGCTAAGGCATCCTATAACAAGAAATCGGATAACCCAATTTATAAAAGTGATTAAGTTAAAATACCTGATTCATGTGTAAAATAGTAAAAAAATCAGGCCTAGTTAGAAGTCTACAGCCAGGGGGCGCCGCAGAAAAATCCAACACGTCCAATCGATTCGAACTGATCGTTCTTCTTATGCTTTGGTACCTCCGGTCCAGTTGTCTACGATGTTGTTCCGCACCTCCGCTACTAAGAACCGAACTAGTGTTACCACCTGGACGAGTCCACGAGGTGGTCCTGGTAGCATGGTCGATGTAGAACACCCGTCCGTGACTATCCATCCTGGCCTCCCATGCTAAAGGGACAGATTCCAACATTACCATAATAAAAATCACCCATTTATCAAAGCTAACTTACACGGCGGTAGCGGCTCCTCCAGCTCCCCCGGGATCTCCGACACCGTCAAAATCCGGTGACTCCTCTCCGGAATCGAAGGTAACCGCGTCGTGCTCAGCCTATGCAGCGGCAGCGGCACCCCTCCGCTCGCCTCCGCCCTCACCAAATCCTGACTTCTCACCTCCGGACTCCTCCTATCCACGTTCCTCAACTCCGACAAAGCGATCAGACTCAGCCTGGGGTTGTCCTTGGCCGGCTTGCCGTCGCCGTTTCCGTTACACTCGCTCCACCCATCCAGGCTCTCCAGAGGTCTAATATCCGCCTGTTTCACTTCAAGCACCGCCGCCGCCTCCTGCGGCTCGCTCGATTTGAGCGTGGGCGGTCGCAAATCGGCGTTGCGCGGCTTCCGCGACCTATGGGTCGGCGTGGGCGGGCAAACCGGGAGCGTGCCGGCCAATCCGGCGACGCGATCTAACGCTTTGGGATGGGGCCTAGCCTTGTGGACGGGGGTCTGCGGGACTTCGGCGCAGGCTTCTTCGGGCTGACGAGTTAGAGGTTTGTGCGGCTTGAGGGGTAGGTCTGAGCTGGGTTCGCCGTCTACGGCGTCTAGTGAACTACTACTTTGAGTAGATTGCGAACTTTGACTATCCTTAGGTTCTAAATTTAAATGAGCATTTGCGATTGGACTAGAAATTGTATCTAAATTCTTCGATAATACGGTGGTTATGTAGTTATCACTTCCTATTAGTTTTTTGCCGTTTTCTAGAAAAGCAGCCTTGATTTTGTGGGTGGATAGCGCCATGTCGACGTCGCTCGCTGAAGACGCCGGCGAAGACGTCTTGTAGTCCTCGTCGGTATCGATCAACTCGAAATTGAAAGTGTCTTCGGGCTTTTGGATCTTTTTCGGTTTGTTCTGGCGAAGGACTTCCGGAGGTGACACTAAAGCGGCGTTGAGAGCGTGCGTCCTCTCCAGCGGCCTGTGCGAAGTTCGCGGTGGCAGCGGAGGCGCCATCTGCTCGTCAAAATCAAAACTACAAGCGCTACCTTCTTGAGTAGTTTGCGAATTACTATAAGCAGTCCATATTTGATAGTACTCTTTGCTGGGCGACTTCTGGTTCAATTTCGACCGGATTTTTTTCTTAGTGCCACCCATGTTGGTACTTTCCGATCTCACTAAACCGTTAATCGACTTCTTCTTTACACCCGCGAACAATTCGTCTTTGTTCGTGTTTAGATCTTCAAGGGAGTTCGAGGTCTTCAAAGCTGGTATCTCCGATTCATCTTGAAACGCGTCGTTTTCGATACCATTGCACTTGTGCTTCTGTTTCACTTTTATCAGCTTTTTAAGTTTGTCAGTGGGGTGTTTTATAATGAGGGAGTCCGTCTGGGCTAGGTAGTCTAAAGTTGAACCGTCGTAGTATCGGAAGCACAGCAGTTTTTCACAGTCTGAAAAAAAAAAAGAGAGGTGGGTTTTGTCTGTGCTAGATGGATGTGTTACCATTATGGGAAGGAATATCTAGAAGCCACATCGTGCTGGTTTCTGGGCCGGTGACCTTCTGCCTGGCCAGGCACTCCTCTGCGCTTGTGCTATCTGAAAAAAAAAATTGCAACATTTACTCCTCTAAAGACTAATTTAATTCCGTCCTACTCCTGTACGTTGAAAACAGAAAACGAAATGACGAAGTTTGTAAATCCTCAGCTAGCGAATCGTACGACCGATAGGCAACCAGTAATACACTGCGACATAACGGATACAACGCACCTCGATCTCACAATCTCGCGTCAGCGAATCCTCCTTCCAGAAAACACCGTTCAAACTCCTGCAAGCCATCCCGTCTTCCCGTTACACAAATAAATTTCGCCGAACGGAAGATTCCGCCCCTAAGTTTCTGAATCAGCTCATATGACTCAAATCTGTGGTTTTCGGAAATGGCCAACATTCCATCGCCTAACCATTCTTCCGGTCTCATTGTATCCAGCACCGGATATAGGACGTCCGATCCGGCTTTTAACAACCGAGCGCAGGTAACAATACCGGTTCCGTTTCCCTTTTGCCAGCAACATCTGGTCTTAATCTCGTGCGCCGGCACAACACCCCTAATTGTTAGGGGATGGTTAAAAGTCAAACTATTTATAGTTTTATTGTGTTTGTGTTTCTGGGAAGCGGAATTTACGGCCGCCGTAGCTACCGAAAAAAAAAAACCTACAAAACGCGCACGCGAAGAGCAAATATTTGCGATTTTTAACCGAACGCTTTCCGAGAAAGCGTCGCTGTCTGGCTTTCGCGCACTTGATTTCTGATAATAATGGGAAAGGCAAATTGTGATACACATACGAGCGGTTTTTATGCAAATATCGGTGAGTAAAAGCGCCAGCCACGTGATCACTCCATCTGTTCGTTACACGGACTACAATTTGGTAACAAAAGTATTGTTCTTTTTTTGGAAATATCGCAACTGCTTTAGTTTGATATAAATGAATACCACAGAGTTCAAAATATTTTATATAATATATAATAATAATAACGATAATGGAATATTTTTGGTATGCGCGCCGGGTCTCCGTTTACCGTGAAACTGACGAAAAATTCCGCATACATTCCGCTCCGGCGTGGACGTCGAATTAACTCGGCTCACGTCCGAGGAACACAAGGCATTTATTTCCATCTTGATTACGGGCGTAATTCGAGAGGATTCCCATGAGAAAATGCACAAGATCGTAAAGAAATGTGAAAGGAAGAAGGGTTGGATGCGTTAATGGACGCCGTCAACGCCGCCGCAACTCTCGAAACCGAATAATAACTTCATTAGAGGCTCGTAGAGAAATTTCCGGTGCTTTACCGGAAGTGTATATACAAGTCATTGTGTCAGACAGCTCGCGGTTGAGTAGTCCGTTGAGTGCGTGTGGCCCCGATTGAAAACCGCTCATTCATGCCAAGACGAACCGCATCGGGAGTCAGGAGATGCTTTCGTGACAGCCGGAATTGGAACAAATGCTCGCCAAAAGTGCAACGTGAAGAGACTCCTAACGAACTCGACGAGGGGACTATTTCTATACGTGTATGCAAACGTGTTTGTCTTGATCAAATTGAGCTACAAGAATAGCGAGATTTGGCAGCGATTATCTGAGAGTACACAATGTATCGCTGCAAGCGCATAGGGAACTGTACGAGTGCGACAGAGACGGAGCTATCATGTTTTAGTACATATGACACTTACAATGTTTTAAACCCAAGTCACTCAGGCAGTCATAAAAAATAAACTTGTATGCATTTCACGCAGCCACTTTTGTATTTTTTAGGTTATTTTTATTTTTAAAGCAAACAAAGATCGACGTGCATTTGGTTTGGTTAACCGAGTTAAAGTTCTCAAAATTCGCTAATTTTAACTCGGTGGTACAGATACCTGAAAAAACATTTTTGCGTACCTGTTTCTTCGCAGTCGAAGATTGTTTTATTGTTATCAAGTCTCGGTTTGGTTTCTAAATATTTAAACGTTCGTTCCAAATCACCGATATTTCTCTGTCACATTTTTTTAGTTGATTGAACTGTTTTCAGGGACTTAGGGATAATACACACAGAAAAAAGGAAAAAAAGTTATAATTACTCTAGCGAGTCCGTAAAAGAGCGCAGTTTTCTCTTAATTAATTCCCGAAGACAATAGTCCGTCCGACCATCCACGAAGCACCTCGTAACTGCCCAACCATCCATCATTCCCCTGCACCCACAAACCGCAACCGTTGTTACTGCACGACCACGCAAGCACTTACCAGCATGCAAATCGCAGCATCCGACCGCAACAATAATTATCAGTTAAAACCACCTTCACACTTTTGTCTCTGAACCGAATAAAAAATAAAGTTCACTTCAGCACGCACAGCATGACCCGAGTCTTCCAGCGTTTTCTCTACGACCATCGAAACCTTACCTTTCCCACACTGCCGCGGACAAATAACCCTCGTTTTCCCGCGAAATCTGCCTAAATTCGGGCCCGGCCCATGTGCTCGGCACGTCTAATTTAAGGCATGCTTCCTTCCATAGGACGCACATCCTCCTGTGACACCGTCGAAAATTTCAAAAGCGTCCATCGTAAATAAGTTTTTAAAAGCTGTAACGGCTTTTACGGCCGGCTTTGATCTATGAATAGACGACGGACGTCCATAATAATTCGAGACGAAATCAAGGAAGAATTATTTTTTTGCCTTGATCGGACTGATTAATCGCGAACCACCGATGCATCGACGCAAATAAAACGGTGTTTACTGCCAAAGTTTCCTGTGTTTATTTGTGTAATTGCCGAGAAGTGTATCCGGTCGGCGGGGTGCGTTTCCGTTTTTCGAATGACGAGGTTATTAACGAAACGCGTATACAGAGTGGCTCGCGACTAAAAATGGGCTGGGGTGGACACGACGCATTGGAATGACAATCTGTCGATCTGACACATGCACACTGGATGCAGAACTCTGCACAATATAAATTGCCGTTATCCATCACTGATTATTATTTTTTACTGACGTCGATTAGTGCTTTAATTAATTTCACTTAAACTGGTGCATCAATGTTATCTCCTCTTTTTTATTCGCAAATCTCTGACTGATTAGTGATTGGTTAAAAATACTTCCGTTGGCTGTGGATTGCGAAGCAAAAATGTTTCAAAAATATTTCAGCAGCCAGCGCAGAATACGAGCCAGAGTTATTTTCGGTTTTGTTTTTATTAGTTTTCGTAACCTCTAAAGTTTTTCATTAGTCCTTGCTCTTTCATGAAGGCCGCAGATTTTGGAAGCAATGGCCGGTGTAAGCTGTCAGTTTAGCCGAAATTAATGCTTTCATAAATCGCATCACGCTGTATTTAGATAAGCAGCCTATTTGATGTATTTATATGACGTTGCATAAAATAGTGAACATTCTTTTTTTTTGTAAGGAATAAATATCGGAGATGTTAAAAAACTCACACGGAGGGAGGGAAGAATAAAAAATCTGTAATTCTTTACAATTTTATATAATAAAATCGTCCAGACAGATCAACAGCGTGAATTCACATTTAATATTGTGGGAAAAAACTTAATAATCCAAAAGCCGTTTCCAGATATTAAAAAATTGACAATATGAAATACATGTATTAAAAGCAACGGGAAAAAATGCTTTTCGAGAAATGGCAAAACTGAAAAAGGGAAATATCGAACAATCGAAAAATTAAAGAAATTAAAAAATTCTAAAACTAATATGGTCAATAATTGCGAAACCGAAAAACTGAAAAATCGAAAAATTGGAAAATCAAGAAATCAAAAATCTGAGAAGTCGAAAAACCGAAAAATTAAAACATGGCAATATCGATTAATTGAGAAAATGAGAAATTAAAAAAATTTAAAATTGAAAAATCGAAAAACAAAAGTCTGAAAGAAACTGAAACATCAAAAAATTGGAAAATTTAATAATCGAAAAACCCAAATTAATAAAAATCAAGAAATTTAAAAAATCTAAAACTGATGTGTTGAATAACTGCGAAATCGAAACACTGAGAAATCGAAACAGCGAAAAGTCGAAAAATCGAAAAATTAAAACATGGGAATTTCCATAAATAAATCGAGAAATTAAAAAAAAATAAGAACTGAAACATCGCAAAGCAGAAAAATCGATAAATTCGAAATTCCAAAACTCAAACGAAGAAAAATTGAAATATCGAAGAGCTGAAAAATTGAAAAACCTAGAAATTGAAACATCAAAAAATTGGAAAATTAAACAACGTAAAACTTAATAACCGAAAAACTCAAATTAAAAAAATCAAGAAACTAAAAAATTCTAAAGCTTATTGGCGAATAAATGCGAAATCGAAAAACTGAAAAATCGAAACAGAAAAATTGGAAAATGGGGAACTCAAAAAGCCGGAAAGTCGAAAAATCGAAAAACTGAAACATCGGAATATCGATAAATCAAGAATTTGAGAAATTAAATAAATTTAAAAATCCAAAACTGAAACGAAGAAAAATAGGGAAATCCAAATATTGAAAAATAAAAAATTTAAAAATTCGAAAAATTGGAAAATCGGGAAATCAAAATCTGAGAAGTCAAAAAATCGAAAAATTAAAACATGCGAATATCGATAAATTGAGAAAATGAAAAATTAAAAAAATTTAAAAATAGAAAAACCGAAAAACAGAAAAATCGATAAATTCAAAATTCCAAAACTGAAAAGAAGAAAAATGGGGAAACCCAAACACTGAAAAATCAAAAATTTAAAAATTCGAAAAATTGAAATATCGAAGAGCTGAAAAATTGAAAAATCTAGAAACTGAAACACCAAAAAATTGGAAAATTTAATAATGGAAAAACCCAAATTAATAAAAAATCAAGAAATTTAAAAAATCTAAAACTGATGTGTCTAATAACTGCGAAATCGAAACACTGAGAAATCGAAACATCGAAAAATCGAAAAATTAAAACATCGGAATTTCCATAAATAAATCGAGAAATTGAGGAATTAAAAAAAATAAGAATAATTGAAATATCGAAAAGCTGAAAAATTGAAAAATCTAGAAATTGAAATATCAAAAAATTGGAAAATTGAAAAACGTAAAACTTAATCGAAAAACTCA